AATGGTCTTTCAAAAAAATTTGATTTCCATTAGTGGTTAAGCGGGCAAAGCAGTTTATTTACAAACTAGTCGTTCCAGCTCCAGGTTGAAATCGAACCTGGAGCTGGCTCCAGGTTCGCGAACCTGGAGCTGCGAACCTGGAGCTGTCTGTCTCGTCATGTCTCGTCATGCATTAGCGAAGTCTAAAGTTCATCAATGAGCGCGGGCGTCGGTCACAAACGATGGGTGGTCATCCTCACTGATCTCAAAAATATGGCGGATTGTGATGAATAACGGACACTGATTGGTCCAATTTAAAGTTTGCATTACAACGACTGCATGACGACAGCGAAATAGCAAACATTTCTTGATTTGATGATTGATAAATTTCTTGCAAATATATTTCATTTTTGCTCGTATTTCTGCAAGATTTTGTAAATTTCAAGAAAAAAAGGGTGAAAGAATCAACTAAAAGAAGGGAGCCGACGTTAACGAAGGTAAGTTTGTTTTAAATATTGATTTTATAATGGCTTTAAAACCCGACGGCCTTTGCGTATATGAAACAACTAAACAAGGCAGCATATAATTTCAGTGTATCTTCAATATTGATTCCCTTTTTTATTATACTGAATTTTTTAAATAAAAAATAAAGCAAAGTTATTTGCAAGCGAGAATTTGAAATCATTTTTATTGCAAACTCAAATTTATCGATAAATCCATTTAATAGTTAAAGGCAGTTTAGTTTTATAAAGAACACTTTAAAACGTTGTGTGAATTGTTTGTGGTTGAATTTTACCTTAAATTGAAGCTTGTATTACGTATAATTACATATCTAACATATATATGTTGGGAAATTGATAATTTTGTAATTAAAAGTGATATTTTTAGGCGATTTTCATTTGTAAGAATATTCTTAATAAATTATCGTGTTACCATGACAACGACTTTAGATACTTCATGTTCGGAAAATACAACGGTTTTGTCAGCAAGGCGAGGGTTTCTGCATTCATGTATTTTCTAGTTTGTATATAGACTGATCATAACCCATCTATTGTTGAAAGGTGAAGCCGAAAGTAAAACTGACGACACCCGATTCAAGGGCCCACTTTACTGTAATACATTTGTATTAAAGAATCACAGTTTTGGCTTTTACACGTTGCTGATCGGGTCAATAATTTTATCACGAAAATAGCAGTACACGAGAAGTATTTTGAGCAACAAATTCCAGTTGTTTTGATTGCGTAACGTTGGAAGACGGGATTTGCAAGTTTGAAAGAGTGAAAAATCACTGTCTTGCAATTGATAATGAACACATGTACAGATAAAGTTATTCTATATTTCGATCAGCAACGTGTAAAAGCAAAAAAGGCGGAAGCTATGATTCTCTAATATAAATCTATAGTAAAATCGGACCCTTGAATCGGGTGCAGGTTCACTTTGAAAATGGTTCATGCCCCACCCATCCATTCAAGAAATTACTTGGCACCCCCCAAAATAGTCGGAAAATAATTTCATGCAAGCCCCTTCTTTTGAAAATCAAATAAAAAGTATTACAAAATACAAATAGCAATCTATTGAAAAGAAGAATTATAATTCATCTACAGAGCAAGAAGCGGAAGCAAAACGACAAAAGAAGTCAGCTAAAACAAATGCAAGGAAATCAGCAAAACAGAAAAGAAAAATTTCAGAGAAAGGTAGAAGAAGTGATAAGTTGCTCACTATTATAAAGGCAAATTCGCAAAAGACATGAAGAAAGACTAATGGTCTACAGTTGGTCTACAGGATATCAGCAAGACTTGCCAATTGGTAGCCCGATTCCATTAAAAGGCAATGTGTTGGTTTATAGAAGAAAACTACTTTGCCAAAGATGCCCTGAGTTTTGTCGATATCTTGGTTGAACAAATGAAACGGCAGCTTCGGAGATCGAAGGATAATAATGAAATGAAAAAAAAGGCGACCTCTACAAAAAATCAGATAACATTGTTGCACTAATGCTTTCCACATACAGCACAGCCTATATAGAAGCTAAGAATCTCTAATATATTGTTGTTTAGTCAGATTCTGAACTTGAAATGATGAAAGCAGCTAAATATGGAAGCTGCTTTGTGCTAGACATATCACATATTAAAGGTAGGGTACAGTCCGTATGTAAACAAAGCCTTTGTTTACATTTCGATATTCAAAATATTGAACTTTATTCGAGAGCTATATATATTTTCATGCTTCTACAGAAAACATAAATGATCAAGATACAACAATCAGGTTTTGCAAGAACATAAAATGAAATAAAAATCTAATTACAGTTTTTATAACACGGCAGGAGACTCCTATATGCACAAGCGCAGACCGGACTGTACCCTATCTTTAATTAACGTTCATATTTGCTTCTGTTTTCGGAAAGTGTTTACTGTTGTATAACAATTTATTCTGGCCAATGCAAAATACTTTATTTGGGAGAGTATAGCCGGATACAACTATTAAAGATGCAACCTTGCCTCTTTAAGGGTTATAAACTCTATCAATATATTTTTGTTTCAAGCGCCTTTGCTTTATATATAATTGGGCTTAAGCCCCTGCTATAGGAAGAAAGATTTCGCTTCCATGGCCAGAAATCACGGACATTTGCATTTCTCAGGTTTCATGTTACCACGAGCACCCACGCAACAATGGCTGCGCAATGCCCCATGTTTATTATCAGGAGAGCGGAGTGTTTTCAATATAGCATGCAATATATAAATCTTAGAATGTTTGTTGAAATTGGTTCAAGAAGTAGCGGTCGTATAGTAACACATTAAGAAAAAATGTTCTCATTACTTTGTATAGTCGCTCTGCTTTTTGCGATTGAATATTAAAACATTTTACCTCACTTTACATAGGAATCTATGAAGGTTTCTCGCTCAAACGGCAAAATCTCGTAATATATTTAATTATCGAAATTTGTTGAAATCATTTTATTTTGACGAATAGTATAGCCTTGTCTTCCGCCGTTTATTATTGTGTTACACCGATAAAAGCTCTGCTTTTTTGTTTTGAAATTCGAAAGCCGGTGCGTTAATATGCATATCGTATATATTACTTCGCGGTCAAAAAGTTATGTTTCATTCGCTTTCTAAACTCGAAACATTGATTGTCTTGCTACATGTTTGGTAGCAAAATACTCATCAAAAGCTTTTCTTTTCATTTCAGTAATTGTTGCTTAGCTACACGCTGCGCCTGGTACACTAAAGGCCACAACTTGAGTGCATACTTCATGCTTTGCTTTATAAACAACACCCACGCGAATATTTAAAATTCCGGATGCTTTGGCAGGGCGTAAAAGGATAATTAGGAATTCTTGTGGATAAACGGAGAAGCTGCTGACCGACTGGTACGCTTGCACAATGTCCGTCATTTCTGGCCATGATGTCCCCCAAATGACCTGCACCAATCGCCCTTTACACATACTTAATGACCGCTTCCTAACGTGAATTTAACTTATAAGATGGTATATTATAAACGATCTAAACAGCACGAAACATGTAAGTCTCTTTCTTATTGCTTCTATATGTTGGTATTATTTTACCAAACACAATGTCCATTCTGCAATAAAATACTCGATTACATTCAACACGTAGCCTACCTTTGCGCTTTTTCGCTTAAGTCCATATATATTTTACGGTTTTGAGCGGGGAAGATGGGAAGGGGAATGTAAAATAAAATGTGCTAACTCAAGCCGTATTAAAAACTCAAAAAATGTTCAAGAACCCTTATTTGGCTTATTAAATTAAATAACGAGAAATATTTGAAAAGCCTCAGCAGAGAAGAGTAGCTAATTAATGTTACAATATTTCCTTCAAATGGTTCAAATTTCAGATCAATTGGTTTAGTGCACCCATATCTTCAGGGCTAAAATTTTTTTAATTTAATAGCCTTAAATCACCAAGTACCTGCCACGTTGTTTACGTCAGTCAAAAGTATTGTTCAGAGAAACGCATATACAATGAAATATGAGACGTTGATGTTGATATGATTTAAAAGTATTGACCGTCAATATTCAGTTAATCTCGCACTATTTCAACCTTTTTATCAGCAGCTTTAGCTCTTTAGTTCAAATCCGAAATAAACTTTATCTTCTTTTTTAATTTTTTTTAAGGACATTGCTTGATATTTAGATTCCCGTTCCATTGAGTTTCATGCGCTAACCCTTATCAAACGAAAGCGCAAGTCACCGCGGCATCGCAAGTCATCTCTACGTAAACGTCTCCGTAAACATCATGCAGCTTGACAAGATTAAAACGTGTTTGAGAAATTCTTGAAACCTTTATTTTGCTAATGTAAGCGCTCAAATGACGGTATAGCAATTCGTGACTGCCTATGAACTGACTTGCAACGACTTTATTATTCGTATTTCAATATTTCCACTATACTGGACGTAGCTTGTTAATTTTTCCCTCTCACTCAATCTGTTTAAACAATTGATTTTCACATTTGTTGTTAAATATCAATTTCTTCTTCTAAAATATGTTTCATGTCCGTGTTGTTTTGGTAATAGTTTCCTTATAATGTTGTAGAAAATTCCCAGAAAATTAATTTGTTGCGCATTGACCATGCCGCTGTTGTTTACATTATATTTGGTTTTCTCCAGCTTCTCTATTCGCTGTCTCGCCTCATAGGTTGTCTTGTTTTAAATATTTGAGTTCTGTGTGAGCGTATTCTATAGAATCTAGAATTGCCACAGCATTCCTTATCCGTTCTTCTATTATTTCTAGTATATCTAGTCGAAGGTAGACACACTCGTATAGCCTGTCTAGCAACAGCAACTTGCAACATCTCGTATAGAACTAGATATAAGATATGCAGAGAACTATCCTGGGACCTTTGCTTTTTTAATCTACATTATAATAATTATGGACTTACCAAATTCCTTATCGTACTCCAAGCCACGTGTGTATGCCGATGACATGCACCAATTTAACATTTGCTAGCGATCGTGTGTATGATATAGATTACAAACAAACTTAATCATGACCTTAATGATGTCAATAAAAGGCTTATTGCCAAATCAATCTGATCTAAAACAAAATTTATGCTAATTGGCTCTAGACAAAGACTAAACACTTATCACTCAGCTCCACTTTGAGCAATCAATGGTCCTATTGGCCAAGTTGCCCAAACGACGTCTCTCAGTGTGGACATTGACGAAAACCCGTCTCGGAATGTGCACATTGATGAAATAAAAAAGAGATTGCTTTGATGTGAATGAACGTGAATTTAACAGATGAATCTGCCTGGCATTTGCCTGTGAGTTGCCGTAAGAAAATATATTAAATTGTTCGTTTTAACTTATAAAACGGTATATTATAGCCTAAACGATCTAAACAGCACAAAACACGTAAGCCTCTTTCTTATTGCTTCTATTTGTTGGCTATCAACTTAAAACATTTTAACCCCAAAGATATGGGTACACTAAACCAATTTATCTGAAATTTAAACCATTTAAAGTAAATATTGCAACACTAAGCTACTCTTCTCTGCAGAAGCTTTTCTAGTATTTCTAGTTATTTAATTTAATAAGCCAAATAAGGGGTTCTTGAACATTTTTTTAGTTTTTAATACGGCTTGAGTTAGCACATTTTATTTTACATTCCTCTTCCCATGTTCCCCGCTCAAATTAAAACCATAAAAACATGGACTTAAGCGCAAAAGCACAAAGGTATACTTGTATGCAGCATGTAATCGAGTATTTTATTGGAGAATGGAAATTATGTTTGGTAAAATAATACAGCCTTAAATCAACAAGTAACTGATATGACAAAGTGTTCCCTATACGTACGTTGTTTACGTCAGTCAAAGGTATTGTTCAGAGAATAGCACACAATTATGACATATGAGACGTTCATGTTGATATGATTTAATATTAGTGACCGTCAATATAATCAGTTAATCCCGCACTATTTCAACCTTTTTACCAGCAGCTTTAGCGCTTCTCAAATCCGAAATAAACTTTATCTTCTTTTTATTTGAATTTTTTTTCAGGACACTGCTCGATAATTATATTCCCGTTCCCTTGAGTTTCATGCGCCAACCCTTATCAAACGAAAACGCAAGCATCGCAGCCACGCCATCTCACTCAGAAACCTCTCCGTAAACATCAATTACATCATGCAGCTTGACAAGATTAATTTAAAACGTGTTTGAGAAATTCGTGAAACCTTTATTTTGCTAATTTAAGCGTTCAAATGACGGTATAACCATTAGTGACCATGAACTGACCATATTATTTGTATTTCAATTTTTCCACTACTGGACGTGGCTTGTTGATTTTTCCCTCTCACTCAATCTGTTTAAAATGATTGATTTTCACATTTGTTGTTAAATATCAATTTCTTCTTCTAAGATATGTTTCATTTCCGCGTTGTTCTGGTAATAGTTTCCTTATAATGTTGTAGAAAATTCCCAGAAAATTAATTTTTTGCGCATTGACCATGCCGCTGCTGTTGACATTATGTTTGGTTTTCTCGAGCTTCTCTATATTCGCTGTCTAATTTCGTTGCCTCTTGCTCGCTTCATCGGTTGCCTTCTAGTTTTAAATCTTTGAGTTCTGTGTAAGCATATTCTATAGAATCGAGATCTGGCACAGTCTTTATCCTTTCTACTATTATTTCTAGTATATTTCATCGAAGGTACACACCCTCGTTGTCTGCCTAACTTCGTAACAGCAATTTACATCATCTCGTATAGAACTATAGATATGCAGGGAACTATCCTGGGACCTTAGTGCTTTTTTTAATCTACATTATGGACTTAACAAATTGCCTATCGTACTCCAAACCACGTGTGTATGGCGAAGACACTAATTTCACATTTGCTAGCGATTGTGTGTATGATATAGACTAAAAACAAACTTAATCATGACATTAATAATGTCCAATAAATGGCATATTGCCAGAGGAGGTTGGACACGGTCCAACATTGCGTTTATTTGCGTATTTCGAGTCATTTGCATTTGCACGTTGGGCGGACATAAGCTGCTGACGCCTGAATTGTTGCTGCCATTTTATTTGCGAATTATAAAGTTCAAAATAAAGAGTTTTTTTAAGAATTTGATGATAGTCTTCAAAGATGGGTATTAAGGGTCTTCATAATTTTTTAAAATCTGTCACAAAAGACTGTTCTTTTGAAGAATTTCGCGGAAAATGCCTTGGTATAGATGCATCGTGTTATTTGTACAAGGGGCATATTCTTGCGCTAAAGAACTTGGCCTTAGAATACCAACTACAAAGCCGTAAGTATTATCTCATTGTTTTCAAACTAACACAATATTAATTGTGCTATATGTAACGTATGTTTTCCTTTTGCATATAAGCGTATAGTGTGCATTCGAGTCGCGGAATTGATTGAAATTTACATATATTCTGTCAATGTTTTTAATATATTGATTTCATATAATCTAAATGAAATCCTCTTTTATAATTGTCCATATTACCATATTAAAATATGTATGACGACAAACGATTGCGGCTGCTACAATATCTATCCTAATAATATTTTTGTAAAATAACTCGTAGCTTATAGTATGCCAAAATATACACTCTTAAATACTGCAGCCTATCAGCTATATAAAATTATTATTATTATTATTATTATTATTATTATTATTATTAAGAATGCTTCACCTTTTTAGAAATGTTATACACTATAGGAATGGATAAAAAGCAGCAACATTACTGCATAAAAAAGATGACGTCTTATGCCATTAGAGCGACATTATTGTTTGTGCCCTGAAACCCTATTACATGTGGTAGCCGGCTGCAAATCGTACCTTCAGCGCTCTACTTGGAGACATGATTCTATTTTAAACTTTCTCGCTGAAACGTTTCAAACAACAAATTCATGTCAACTTTATGCTGACCTATCCGGCCACAAAAGCCCGTCAATTATAACTGGTGACCTATATCGACCGGACTTACTCCTAATTACCCCAAATGAAGATCTTTATGTCGTTGAACTTACTGTCGGGTTTGAATCTAATCTACATAATAACGTTGAACGCAAAAAAGCTAAATACAAAGATGTAATTGAAGATCAAAGGGATCACTTTAATCCTGTTAAATTTGTAAACCTATCAATGAGCTCTCTCGGTGTGTTTGACAAAGAATGCTTCACCCTTTTTAGAAATGTTAGACACTATAGGAATGGATAAAAAGCAGCAACATTACTGCATAGAAAAGATGACGTCTTATGCCATTAGAGCGACGTACTATATTTTTTGCTGTCGAAACAAAGAGTGGACAAACCCTGAATTGTTAAACATTTAAATTAATAACTACATATAACAATATATATAATCATATACCCATTTTATTCCTGTTTTTACTGTAAATAGTACATATGTAGTACTCTGTGATTCATGTAGCCAATTGTAAATTACCTAAGTTAGTAGTTATTATTATTTTCTGCATCCGTCAAATTTATCCAACGTCAAACTGTCCTACGCAACGCCTTAAAAACATCCCCAAATGATTCCATAAAAGAATTCTGGAAATCAACTAACAATCACACTAATATTCAGTACGACATATATAATTCAACAAAGGAACTTCTCAAGGATTTTCACTCTGGACAAGAAGATAAGCTTCAACACCGTTTAATTTGTCAAGGTTCATTTTTCTCGAATGTTGCAAAGTTTTCCTTTTCACAGTTAAACACACTTTGGTCTGCCGCTCAATCAAAACTGCCAAAGAACATTTTCAACTTCACCGTCCGTTACATAAATAACTCTATAAATAACATCGAAGTCTCTACCAGTTTGTTCAGGCGTTCCATGGGGGTCAATACTCGGTCCTGCACTGTTTCTTCTTTACGTGAATGACCTACTCAAAGCACCCATGTCCAGTTGAGCTGCACTGTTTGCCGACGACACCAAGATATTCTCCGCAATTCAATCACAGAACGATGTTTCCTCTCTACAAACTGATCTTGGAACCCTGGAACATTGGTCAACAGTATCTGGGCTATCATTCAACCAATCCAAGTGCAAACATCAAACGCTAACGCGGAAAAAAGCACCAGTTGCTTCCTCGTACAAGTTGGACAACTCAATCATATCCATTACTGACAACGAAAAAGACTTTGGCGTGTGGCTGTCATCAGATTTAACGTGGAAAAAACATGTGAACGAGCAGACAGCGAAAGCGAATAAGATTCTGCGATATGTTAGAAGGAACACTTTGTTTATTCAAAATACTGCAGCCAGACGAGCGTTATACCTGGCATTGGTTAGGTCGCACTTTGGCTACGCAACACAGGTTTGGTCACCACAGTCAGTGGAACTTATAAGTAAACTCGAAAGAACACAAAGACGTGCTACTAAATACATCTTAAATCTACCGTTTAGCACAGCTGTTGACTATAAATCGAGGTTACGGTCTTTAAATCTTCTTCCAGTAAGCTATTGGCACGAATACTTGGACTTTATCTTGTTTTTCAAAATCACACATGGTCTAGTAACGCTAAATCCCCAAGTGTCGCCAGCTATCTTCGCCACTCGTAGAACAACCCGATCAACCTCATCAAACAAACTGAAATATGTCATCCCTAAATGCAGAACTACCACCTACCAAAAATCTTTCCTCGTAAGAGCGTGCCGTGCCGAGTTTGGAACTATCTTGCAGATGAACTGAACTTTACTAAGGATACTAGCATTTCTGTATTTAAATCAGATCTGCTCAAGTATTACTTCACATCACTGAACATTAATTATGATCCGGAAAACTCTCGAACATTTAAGAGTATATGTCTGAAATGTAATTGTATTCGAAGCCT